GTAGATGTTGCTGGTGGTGATGAAGGTGATGGTGGTGGTGATGATGGTAGATGGTGATAGTGGTGAAGATGATGGTGGTGATGGTGATGATGGTGATGAAGGTGATGATGATGGTGGTGATGGTGGTGATGAAGGTGATATTGCTATTGGAGGTGATGGTTATGGCGATAGAAGAGGTGGACAGAACGGTGGTGATGGTGGAGGGATAGTGACTGTGTGGTCCATTTTTCAATCTCCTGACCACCCTGCATCTAACTCTGTCCCTTTAATGGGAGAATCTCCTACTAAGGGCCAGTACATGCTTCCCACTTTGGAAGCAGGAAGTATTAGACTCTCATCTCTCTGCCTCCCTTGCAATAAGGCTGAGGGCATGACCCGGCCCACCAGATGTTTCAGACTTTGACTTGGCAACCAGTGGTGTGAGAAAATGGGATATGGCATCTCATTCAAAGAGGTGAGGCAGAGCTAGTGGAGGGGGGAGATGGGACCCCTTGATTTCAAGGCAGCTGGTGGGTGCATTGCACCGCATCTGTGGAGTGCAGGGTGGCAGTGCCAGGATTCCAGGCACCTTCCTAGTCAGGCAGCCCATGGGCCTGTCTACTTCCCCTTGGGTGTCTGTGAGCACACAGGTTTGCCAGCATTCTTCTCCCAGTGACTTTCTTTTGCTGCCTTTATCAGCCAGTTTGCTTGTTTTTGCATTCAGCAGTGAGGATGGAAAGCATAGTCAGCATTTCTCAAGTAATAGAAAATTGGCCACAAGCAAGAAAAGATGCTGATTATTTCCTGTAAATGGGAGTGTGAGGCCCAGAGGTGGTAAGATCCCAGGCAGGACACTAGCACCAGCTCAGTGGCATCACCAGAGGCCTCTATTGTTACCCTTCACTGAACTGCTCTCCTAGGTCAGCTCTGATCTCAGGCCGACACCCTCATGGTGACAAAATGGCTGCTGCTGTTTTAGGCTTCACATCCAGGCAGGATTAAGTTCAAAGGAAAAAGAGGCTCTGTCTCTGATTATCTTCTTAGGAATAAGACTTCTCCCAAATTCTAGCTGATACCTCTTCATGCTCACTGGCCAAAACAAAAGCACCCCTCTTCTACTGCTCAACCAGCCCCCCAGAACGGGGTAAAACCAGCCTTGCTCAGACCAATCTGGATTCCTACCCCTGTCTCTGCAAGTTCAGTTCCCTAGAAGCAGGTGGCTATATGAGGAGGACCTCCCTGATGGCATCCTGTGAAGTGTGTGTGGGAAGTCCTCGGGTCACATCGACAGCACAGCAGTGTGGGTGACATGGCAGTGGCCAAAGCCATACGAGGTGCTGTGTGACCCATCCAGCCTAGGACCTCTGACCTTACTTCTCAGCTCCTGCAGGATGGTGCTCCCCCCCAGCACCTGCTCTGGGAGGGTGCCCTGCCTTGGCCACTGCACCATCAGCACAGACGATCTGTCTAGACTCCTCTGTTGTCGTGTCTCCCAAGGACTCTAGGTCTGTCTTGCTCACTGCTGGCCTTGGGCCTGGAATGGCTTCAGAGACATTCCAACTGCCACTTAGCTCAGTATTTGTTGGAGGGCTGATGGAGCTGGCAGTGGCGGTCAAAACACTGTGCCTCCTTTCAGGGCACGTGCAGCTGCTTCTTTGCATCTAAGCAGTGACCCATGTGAGCCCTCCTGGGGGCCTGGAGGGGCAGCCTTGGGGAGCCCACCTCTCCACTATGGGTCACTACCTGTTGCCCTCCTTCCCTCAGGGCAGCCCTGCATTGGGTCTGCCCCCACCCTCAGGCCTATCCCCCAAGCCAGACACACCTGTAGCCCTGGCCTTATGGGAGCTCTGAAATCTGCCACAGCACTCGGAGTGGCCAGCTGTCGTGGAAACAGGGATGTGGTTTATGGGAGGGAGCCAGGGACCTGGTGTATACCCCCATGCCTGCTGCTCCGCACCTGGGCACAGGTACCCTCTGCCTCTGAGGAACTCTAGACAGAGCCCTGGGTGGCCTTGTCCTGCCTCAGGGCTCCTGGGAGACCAAGCACAAATGAGTGAGGGGCCACAGAGGTAAGAAGGGGCTATCCCTGCTTGGTACCCAGGCTGGTCCCTAGGCCCTGGTGGTGACTTAGGCCATGGCACGGAGAAGGACAGAGACCCCACTATGCCCACCTAGCAGCTTAGGGGTGAGTTATAAATAGAAGCTCATGTTAAGTCCTGGGTCAAGAAAGGAAGAGCAGGCAGATTACCCGATTAGCAGAGAGTGGGGGATTTGCTGTGTAGAAGGGCTGGTCCTGGGGCTATGGTGAGAGCTAGGTCAAGGGTCCCTCAGGGCAGTGTGCAGGGTCTACAAAGTGCACACGTGGCCTTGGGGACAGGACTCTCAAGCTCTCTGAGGGGTGTCTTCTAAATCTTCTCAAGAGAAGGATGTCCTAGCTGAGACATCCTGGATTTAGGGGTGCCCCAAAAGCATGCTGCCCCATCCCTCACTGCCCCCAGGAGAGGAGTGAGGGGCTTCCCCATCTCCTCCCTCTAGGGGTCAACGTCTCAGCCAATCAGGACGAAGAACTGGACCATGAGACCTTCTTGATGCAAATTGATCGGGAGACCAAGAAGTGTACCTTCTATTGCAGCACTGGTGGCTACTGGACGCTGGTCACCCATGGTGGCATTCAGGCTACAGCCCCACAAGTGTGAGTGTACCTCCCTGCCTCTGTCACTACCTGCACCACTATCCACCATCACCCTTATCCTCACCCCCATCACCCCACCATCTCCACCCCCACTCCATCACCCCTATCCTCACCACCATCACCCCCCATCATCACCCTCACCCCTGCTCCCACCATCATTCCCATCGTCACTATTACCCCCACCATCACTCCCACCTCTACCATCACTATCATCACCACTGTCCCCACCTCTGGGACCACACTGCAGTATAGTCAGGAGTGGGGAGTGACTCTCAATGGTAGTGGGTGTGTCTGAAAGGCAGGCTCCTGCCTCATACCCTGGAAGCTGAGGGTCAGCCCCTGCACCCCACCTCCTGCTGCTCTGAGAGAACCCTGCCCTGCTCCCTCTAGCTCTGCCAACACCATGTTTGAGATGGAGTGGCGTGGCCGGAGGGTGGCACTCAGAGCCAGCAATGGGCGCTACGTGTGTATGAAGAAGAATGGGCAGCTGGCGGCCATCAGCGATTTTGTGGGTGAGCCCTACCTGCCTGCCTGGGAGCAGGGGCTGGGTTCTCCTCCCAAGGGCAGTGTCCACTGGGCTGCACACTCTCCTCCCCAAGAACTATTGGCCTCATGGCAATAGTTATGCTTATTGGTCAAGATGATCAGTCTCAAAATTTGGTGAGCAGTTAGATCCTACAACTTCTGTGTCCTCACTGAGCATTTGTGGGTGCCCCAGGTTCCACAGCACCTTTAGCACACTAGGCAATGGCAGATCCTAGCCCCCAAGTCCAGGGTGTAGCTCCTCCTAGAGACTGGATAGGGAAGGTGGCGGGAGGGTGGCCCCAGCAGCGCCCTCTCCCCACAGGCAAGGACGAGGAGTTCACCCTCAAGCTTATCAACCGGCCCATCTTGGTGCTGCGTGGCCTGGATGGCTTCGTCTGCCAGCGCCGTGGCTCCAACCAGCTGGACACCAACCGCTCTGTCTACGATGTCTTCCACCTGAGCTTCAGCGATGGCGCGTACCAGATTCGAGGTGGGCGGCGGGAATGAGAGTGGGGGGTCCCGGGAATGAGGGCGACAGGGAGGGGCGGGGGCTGCGGCAGAGAGCGCCCCCGCCGACGCCTGGTGCCCCCGCAGGCCGCGGCGGGTTCTGGAACACCGGCAGCCACGGCAGCGTGTGCAGCGACGGTCAGGGCTCCGAGGACTTCCTCTTTGAGTTCCGCGAGCGCGGACGAGTGGCCATCCGGGCTCGGAACGGCAAATACCTACGCGGCGGCGCCTCGGGTCTGCTGCGTGCCGACGCCGACACGCCGACGGGGGCTGCACTCTGGGAGTACTGAGGTGTCCTGTTCGCATTAAACCTTGTCTGTCACGCATTTGCTCATGGGCTTGGGGCGCCGCTCGGGGTTACACAGGGTACACACGTGGGGGAGGCCAAGGTCCCTGCTTGTCTCCCCAAGCTCCTCCCAGCCCCTAGGGAGTACCACCAGAAAGGTGGCCTGCTGGGGAGCGGGGCCAGTGGTCTTGAGGACCAGGACAGACGGTGCTAGTGGGTGGGAGACAGCCAATGGGGATGCCCTCAGACCACCACCACTCTGCTGCTAGTCCAGCCCTTGCCAAAGGGTAAATTTAGGGACAAAAGGCCAGTGTGAGTCCTAACACAGGGTAGCTAGGTCCCAGTTAGCTCCAGCAGGACTAGTCACCTCTTGCAGTGTATGACGGATAGGTGGCCTGCAGAGCCCCCTCGTGGCGCCAAGGCTGTGACAGCAGGCAGAACCTTAGGGTTAGGCTCTTGGATTCCAGGCTCCCCCACTCAGCAGGATCTTGAGGGGGTCACCCTGCATGTCCTGCAGTGGCTGGAGGCAGAGCTGACGTGCAGACGGCCTGTCCTCCCAGGGTGGCACTGTGGGTAACAGATCCCTGGGAATCCGGAAGAAGCCAGATGGGCAAGGAAGGGGCTGAGGTGGGTGGCCACTATGTGCAGGAGGGAGCATTCAGGCCAGGAGTGTCTGCTGTCTGTGGGGCAGGGTGAGAAGGGGCTGATCATCCCATCTAGGGGCCATAGCACCAAGCCAGGACCTAAGCTGCAGCAGGTGACCAAGGTTCTAAGACTTTGCTGGACTCCTCCTTGGCCAGCAGGCCTTGCCCACCTGGTCACCAGAGGAGGGCCTTGCATAGCCTAAGCTTCAGGGCTAAGCATGCCCAGGAGGCTGGTGGCCCTAAGCTGCCCTAAGCTGTGCCATGGGGATGGGAGTGGGCCTCCTAGAAAGTTTCACCCAGTTCCCCAACACGCCTGTGTCCTGGCTGAGCTGAAGTCCCCTGTGGCCCCCTTTCCTGCCCCATCAGATTTTTTTTTTGCAGTTTTTGGCCAGGGCTGGGTTTGAACCCCCCACCTCCAGCATATGGGGCTGGAGCCCTACTTCTTTGAGCTACAGCCACACACACCCCCATCAGATTTCTTGCTCATCATTCCATGTCACCTCCTCAGCTTTCTGGTGTATACATTCGCAGCTTTTCCCTTCTTGGACACCAGTGTGCCTCCTTTACCTACAAGTGTCCACCCAGGGTCACTCTCAGGTGCCCACAGGGGCAGCAAGGGCATCAGGCCAGCAGTAGGCACGACAATCTCTTCCAAGATGCCTTACAGCCAGAAGGCAACTGCTTTTTAACCAGACCGGCACTAATGGCTCAATGAGTGGATCCTGCAGACATCCTGACAGAGGTCAGGACAGCCAAGAAGGCTGCCTCTGCCAGGGGCTGATTCCAACCTGGCTCAGACCCCCAAAGTGTTGGCATGTCCCTGTGCCCTGCTGGTGCCCCCTTCCCAACAGCACTGGGCAGCAAGTCAGATGGTGACCCTGTGGAACGTCCCCGTCTGGTTCCCTGGCTCCTGAGACCTACTGGCATCTGGCTGGGGCCTGCATAGGTAAGTCATAGAGGCAACCCAAATCTGTCAGCTCTGGGACCACCTTGGTCTGCAGTGGGGATTGAAGGTAGGCATGTTGGGTTGCCAAGTCTGACGGAAGCCACCACACAGCCTTGGCCATGTCACACTCCCAAGGCAGGAAGAAGCTGGCCCTGCAGATGTGGTCCTCCGCTGGCTCATCAAGGGGCTTTCTGTTCTGAAGTCCCATGGGCTGGCCTGGCCACTCCATCTCTTCAACCTGTGCTACTGAGAGGAAGATGGGCATAAGACCGGCCAGTGGATGGAGCCTAAAGCTCCCACCTGGGGTGATAATGGTGGCCCTCAGGTGCAGTAAACCACCCACACCTCTGGAGAAGGCAGCCCTTCTAGACACTGGCCCTTACTAAAAGAGCAGGTTTGGAGAAGTGGGCCCACTTCCTCCCAGGTACCCTGAGAGAGACAAACCTAACTCAGCACCTGCTGGCTGGCCCCTCCCTACCTAGAGGTGAAGGTGTGGTGAGGACGGGCAGATAGCTATGGTGGTGGGAGCAACTGGGCACTTCAAGGAGGCCTCCTCAGGAGCATTGCCCCAGGGCTCGGGGCTCCCAAGCAGTGATGGCTCTGTCCAGAGGCCAGGAGGGTGGATGATGGGGCTGCCAGCTGACTCAGGGCGGTAAGGGGACAAACACCAGGCAAGGACTTAAGTTTAACAGTTGGTCACAGCAAAGAAGCGCCTTGTGGCTCCTGCATGTATTAGAGACACTTACATAGGAATGGTGCCACAGCACCTTGGGGGGACAAACAGACATAGTTGTCCCTCCCCAAACAGTTAAAACACCAGCACCTGGGGAGGGAGGAGGCTGGGGCCCTCCACAGCCCACCAAGTACTCTGAAGACAAGTGCAGTGCTGGGTGCAGCCCTGGCCAGACGCAACTAGTTGAGTGTTCTGGCCACAGGCCACCTGACAGCCCTCCTCGCCATGGCAGGACCTTTGGCACCCATAGGAGCCCCTACATGGTGTTTGTGCTTTGGTTGCAGGGGCCTCTCCTACATTTTACCTCAGAGTGGGCAGGTGGGCACACGTGGACAGTGGACCAGGGTCTATGGCTGGCCTGGCAGTGCTGCCCAGCCAGTGGGCAGCTAGTGTTCCTGGTCTCATGGTAGCGGCAACAGTGGCAACACAGATACTCAAACCTACCCAGAGCCCCAAGGCCAGAACACCTGTTTCTTGCTAGCCTCCCTGGCTCAGAAGTCCAGATGAGCCCTGGGTGCAGACTTGTAGCTCTGGGTGGAGACTACCCAGGAGTGACCAGGCCGCACATTGCTGCTGGAGGAAAGGGTGATACAGAGGGGAGGGAGCTGGGGCAGGATGACCGGCGTGGTCCAGAATCTACTTGGCACTCTTGTGTGCATTCTGCTCCCAAGTGGCCGGAATTCATCTCCCCTGACCTTCCATAGCTCTGGCCAGGATTGAGTGCTTCTTGAGTCAGGAGCCGGGAAAGTAGCCTCTTCTGTCCAGTTTTTCTCTGTGAACCACAAAGGCACTGTGGCTGTCAGAGAAAACTGGGGAAATGCAGAGGGCAAGGGGCTGGGTGAGGGGCCAGGCCTACCTGGTCACAGGAGGATGAGGCTGGGGTTTCGCAGCTGTCTGTACACCTGCAGGAGCCTCTGGGCAGTGGCACATGCGCTGGTTTCATCCTCTGTGCACAGCCGGTCACGCAGGGCTTGTACCTCCCGCAGCAGAGTCTGAAGATGGGGGCAGCCAGTCAGCCTTGGACCTCTCCTCTGTTCATACTGGAGTCCCTCTGGGGGAACTGCCATTTGCAAAATCGTACTTGGGAGGTGGCTGGCAGTCCAATTAAAACAGAAGACATACTAGCTGGCCCAGCACCTACCCCTCAGGTGGGAGAAGCAGGGCAAGAGACAAATGTGACCCATGTCCTGAGACAGGCCTAGGACTGCACCCCCCAGGTGGCAGTGGCTACAGGGCACTGAGTGCCTCACCTCGTGGTTGGTGTGTATCTCGCGGAGATACTGTATGCGGAGGTCAGGTGGGCTGGAGCCTCGGGCAGCTTGCTGCTTGACCATGGTCTGCAGGGACATAGGGTGGGGAACACTAGAGATGGCACCCATATTGGGAGGCTGGCAGGACTCTGCTGCTATTCCCTCCAGCCCTTGGAACAGAGTGACCCTCGTCCTCTATCTGCCCCTGCTCCCCTGCCTGGTCTTCCATTAACTCAGTGCCCACTGCCTCAGCCATCTCTGTTTCCTCCCGTCCTCCCCTTCTTTTTTCCTGCCAGGACATAGCTCCTGGCCTGACAGTACTTGAATGGGAATTTCTACTGGGTTCCTCCCCGCTACTGCGTGACTCTTGCCTGTCTCCAAAGAGCCTCCCTCTGCCCAGATCCAGACTCACCCCTGCCTGCTTCTCCCAGACCAGCCTTGGTGCTGCTGTGCAACTCAGGCAGGGCCCACGTGGAGTGTGTGAGCAGCTCTACTCTCTCAGGTGCCCAGACAGCTCCCTGGGCTTACATCTAAATTTCCAGAGGAGTCTAGACAGCAAGGCCCCTGAGTGAGCACAGCCCCTCTGGGGCAAAGCGACTGAGAAAACACCCTAGTACCCCAACAACTGAGGGACAGCAGCTTGCCTAGGACCCCAGCAAGTGCTGGTGTGAGGCAGACGCTCCCCATCTGGTAGGATCCTGAAAACCCTGAGCTGTGGTCAGGGCTGACTGAGACACTCCTGCTACGCAGGGCTGGCCTCTTAGGGTGGGAGAACACATAGGTCCACAGCCCATGAGATTCCTACATAAGAGGCAGCAGTAGTTGGCTCGGCGCCTATAGCTCAACCGGCTAAGGCACCAGCCATGTACACCTAAGGTGGCGGGTTTGAATCCCCAGCCCGGCCCGCCAAACAACAATGACGGCTGCAACCAAAAAAATAGCCGGGCGTTGTGGCGGGCGCCT